TTTCTAAATACTAAATGTTTTACACTCAGAAACACCTGGCAAAGTTTGTAAACCCAAATCCAAACCAAACCCAAAGTATACAAGTTCCCAAACACTTCTCTACTCCTCGGGTACAAAGGTCTTTAATAAACGCATAGTTCAGATACGGTTAATGAAGCACTTCCAAGGTTTCTCCTTGCGTTATCACAAAGAGCCTCTCTGCTACCCTTCACTCAGCGTTGCGAAAGTCGGTTCCACCTGAGATAGAAACGACGTTTGGACTCAGAGGTGGGATCTCTGGAGCTTCTGCGAGTCTCCAGCCTGCTGGCAGGGAGGCGAGCGGCGCCGCACCTGATGGACTCCTGACCACCGGCTTCTGCACTTCCTTCTTGCTCCTAATTGACCTCTTGCAATGGACCTGCTCGGGCAGAAATGCCTTCAGCCAGATACCCTCATTTCCTGGGGTTGCAAAACAGGTCCCAAGCCCGGGAGATGACAGGCTGGACCTTACTAATAATGAGTGGTGCAAAGTCTTTCATTCAAGCCCTTCCACTGCACGTTCCCCGTGACGATGACCAGTTCACCTTCCTTGCGTTCTTATGCAAATAGGCTGGAAGGGCAGGAATTAACAACTTGGCCAATGGTTACATCTTACCTGCCACCATCCTCTTTTCACATCACAGTTTGGAGTATGTTTCCAATACAGGAGACACCGACCGGGACTTCTACCTGAGCATGCTGAGATACCCTTCCCGTCGGCAGACGATGGAGGGGACAGACAGACGGGCATCCTCCCTTCCTGTGGGACTCTCCGTCAGGCTGGAGCTCACCATCAGCCTCGGTTCAGTTTGCTCGTTAGCAAATCAGCATTTGCTAATTTGATGCAGAAAGCTCAGCACTCGCTGCTAAAGAGATTAAGAGGGTCCTCTGTGGCCAGTATTTGGGAGACGCTATTATCTTGTCACAGATTGATCCATCAGGAAAGTTATCCTTCTCTTTGCTCCTGGAAATCATTTGGGGGAAACACTTGCCCAGCGTTGTCCTCCCGCCTGCTGCTGTGGGGCTTCTCACACCCCACATGCCACGCAGAGTCAAATGTCATTTCTGCTGTCCCCACCGAGACGCGGTGTGAACACCTTCATCTCCACCAGTGGAATCGTACTCCTCCTCGGGTCGCTCTGATTTTCTAATCTGTCAAAATCATTAGGAATAAACAGCATTGCCCATTCCCGGCAGCACACAAACACAGACCTTTTAATCCATAGACACAGTTTGCTTTCCTCAGCTCATTCCCAACCCACGTTTCAGGTCTATGTTCATACCAACTTTGCAGGACACGTGGCTGTACATCTCTGGTTTGAACTCACGCCTGCATTCAGGCAGAGGAGCTTGCCATGGATATCTTCTCGAGGGGACGAGTGCCCCTCCGCTAGCCCCGGTGAGTGCCAGAGCTTCACTACAGCTGCCTGATGGAAGGTCCAAACAGAGCTGCCTGATGGCTGAAAAATAAAGGATTTCCCTCTATTAAGTACTAAACCAAGTGCTGCGTGAATCCACATTAAACAAGGACAATTATCCCATTTCCAGCAGGTCTCAGCATGCAGTTTCAAGTAAATAAGCATCAAGCTGTCAGCCTGAAATTCTCCTTGGGAGCTGTGCGGTTTTAATGAGCCACCACCAGTTCTGGGCTTTGGTATTTCCCCCTTCCCCTTTCTGGCAGTTGCCTTTGTCTTTTTAATGAAACGCCATGGCCATGGAGCCGATCCATCGGCCAGGGTGCTGCCGGCAGCTCAGGGTAGGAGAAATGAATTTGGGGCAGCTCAGGAGGGTCACCTGGAGCTGGCGGTGCCAGCACCACCCTCGGCATTTGGGTAGAGCAGCAGCAGCATCAATCGCAGAGGATGTGGCAGCACTTGGTGCCACTGCCATGCCAGGCTGTGTGCCAGCCCTCCGCTTGCCACAATTTGGGAAATTAGCTTTAACTAAATGTTAGCGGGTCGATTTTTGTTTGCATCCAGCCCTCTTGTTGACCTTCACAGTTATAATGGTGATAATATGAATCGAAACGTGACCATTCCTCCCACGCTTGGCAGAGGGACCGTCAGCAGCTCATCCAGCAGCTGGATGTCGTGGTTGGCGAACAGTGCCCATTTTTCCAGGTGCGTCCCTTCCCGGAGAGCTCTGTGCCCATCACAGACGTTTGGAGGTTGCATGACGAGAGGTCGGTACAGGAGGTAGTGTCCTGTTCCCAGTGCAGGCAGCACACATGCAGTGATCCTCCAAATTCCTGGCTGGAGGATACAGGGAAGCGGGTAGCTGGGTTGAAGGGTGTCCTTGCTGGCACCCCCTTACATGGACCTTTGTTTGAACCACGAGGGAGGGTCCAAAGGGTTCCCAGCCGTACTGGCTGCCCTGGTTTGAGCGACACAGGATTCATGTCTCTTTCAGTAATTTTATTTTTTGGTATCTTCTAATGCTTGGAAAAACTGCATTTTTTAGAAAGACTCTAGTGTTTGAATTTCTGAAAATATTTACTTTATCGCCAGCTATGGTGTGTGGGTTTCAAGGTCTCAGTGTTCTCGACCTGGCCAGGTGCGGGGATGAGGAGACCCCAGCGCTTGACCTGAGCTGGCCAACAGCATTATTTCATACCATAAATGTCACATTCAATATAAATCAGAAGGTTTGCTGTGAAGTTGTTTCCCTTCGTTGATGGCTGCCATCCTGACAACTCCTTGCCCTGGTGCCGCAGCCCTGAGTCCTTCCCTTCCTCCCGAAGCCGCAGCGCTGGCAGTGTCCCACATGTGCTGTCCCCTGCTGGGAGTGCACAGCTTCCACGGGTAGAACGGGCTGAGTATAATCCTTGTATATTTTATATTGGTATTGGGATCGATATTGGTTATTTAGTATTATTAATGTTAATTATTTAGTATTATTCTATTAAATCTGTTTATATTTCAACCCTCAGGTTTCCTTGTTTTTCTCCCATTCCCCTTCCAGGGTGGGGACGGGTCAGAAAAATCATCTAAATGAAAGTAATTGTCATGGGTTCCTCAAACCACAACACAAATGCAAGTACGGCTTGTCCTAAAACGTCCTGCTGTTCATCCTCCCCAGAATCATGACATTTCACCCGCAGAACTCACTTTTTGAGGCCACACTGACAGCACGGAGGGGTCATCGGGCGAAAGAATAATTGCTGGAATGACAATAAATGGTTGTGGGTTCTTCAAGACGTAGCACTGGCTGTGGTGCCGGGACGGGGAAGCAGACACAGCTCCCTGCCCCGCCGCGGAGGGAGCCGAGCAGCCGCCGTGGTGCAGCTGTGGCAGGATGGGGAAACACCGAAGTCCATGCTAAAAATTCCCTGCGGTCTGCTGGACCCCTCCAAAGAAGAAAGAGTTTGTAAATAGCCTTTCAGTTTGATCATCTGCAGGAATTAATCAAGCAACGATTCAAACCACTGGGCACACGTCATCGTTTTCCAGTTGTTGTGTGAGGCTTGATCCAGAACGGAACCAAAACAGCTTCAGCCAAAGCTTCGTTAGAACTGAACCACAAAGTCACCAGCCTGACTCTCTGCTGCTTTGATCTACTGCTAATCGCTTAATTAATTCTTCTGTGAGCTGATTTTCCTTTTGCTGTGCTTTCCACCTCCGTTTGGTTTCAAAGTGTTTGAAACATAATTCATGTGGGAATAAGCAAATAAAGTGTATAACAACAGAGAAACAGATGTATTGCTCATATTCATGTATATATTCTATAGCAGACAACTTTCTCCTTTGACACACCATTGTCACCTCAAACTCTAACGGTGAAAACACAGCCACCTAATTTTTGTCTTAAAGTACGAACGGGAGATGGCTTTGCACAACAGAAGTTTGCCCTACACAGAAACTTTTCTCGTTACAAAGAGCACTCGTGAGTTTCACAGAGTACGCTCTGGCATTTTAAACCTGTTGTTGGCTTCTCAGAAATGAGGTTGGTTTTGTCCCCTCTCCCGCTTCACTTTCAGTTAAGGAGCCTGACAAGGAAAAGTATGGTACAGAGAAGTGGAAATGAAGAATAAGTGGGTTGTAGTTGACATTTAATTTCTGCACAGTTGGGAAGAGAAATGAGTCTGTCTATTGTTCAACTCATTATTTTTCCCAGCCATCCAAGAACGTAGCAATTTGTTGTTCCTTTATTAAATATAATAGGGAGATGTTCTGATAATTTTTCCTTATCGAGTTCTTATTATTTACAGTACATGGACAGTGGCAGCCTCTGAGCTCTCTCGTTTGCTCTGCTTTTCGGTGTATCATTCAATTAACACAGAGGGGATCTGTTACGTCCAAACGGTATTACGGCAGGGCTTGATAAGACAGCAAGCCGCAGAAAGATCTAATAACCTTTAATGAATTATCGCAGTGCCGTGTTTGGAGATGTTCTCCCGGCAGCACCCTGGGACTTACACAACACATCAACATGTCACTAGTCAGGATCAAGAACAGCCATATATTTCGAGGCCAGGCCAGGGCCAAGTTCTTGGCTGTGCCCGTGTAGTTTTACCCATGAGGCCAAGGAAACCCCTTGCGTACGGCACGGCCATTTACTCCCGGCTTTTTAAAACACAGTGTGTTCCCCCTTGCTCCTCACTCCGAGACCCTTTTTCTCCCCTTTATTAGCATTAAAGATGGAGGAGGTTTGGGGCTGCAAAGTCTCTTCCCGAGAAGTCTCTTCCAGACTTTCCAGTGAGACACCAGACTGAGCACCTACCTGTTGCCATCTCGCGCCCCCAACCACGCCGCCCCTCCACAACCCACAGCGCTGGAGGGACCAAAGAGTTCAGCAGCAAGAACTGCTTCTTCACCCTGCATCCAGAGTTGCCGAACAGATGATGCTGGTGCCGACATCCGCACCAAGCGAGAGATAAAGGCTGTGAAGGGCATCTCTCCGGCATGTTAAGCCCAGGAGCTCAGCTATGGTTGCTGCCAGGGTATCTAGGCTTAAGGCAGGAAGGTGTCCTTCAGGTAACCACCATGGGGGACATCAGGCTGCAGGCGGAGGCCATGAGTTGCCTGAAAGAAATTAAAACGCGTGAGGTGCTTTCTTGGAGGCCAGAGAAGGTTTGGTTGGCGGCATACAGGAAAGGCACAATAATTAAGCTTTCTTTCTCTATCTCCAATGTTGTTTCTGTTTCTTCTCGTGGCATAAAGTCCCTTTTCCTTTGCCTAGAGAGGTTCAGGGTGGGAGTTAGTGAGCAATTTATACTGTGCGTTTAGGGTAACTGGTAATGAATGACTGCTTGAGACCTGACACTGGAAAGAAGGTTGTAGACACAAAAAGTATCGCTGCGTGCATTTTACGCTCGATTTGTTCCCTGATCTTTAGCTGTTCCTGGATTTCCAATGGGAATGAAGGTTAGTGTTACAGCCAAGCTCCGAATAAAATAAGAACAACCTGGGAAAATAAAAATTGATGCAAAGCTGAAAGTAAAACACCGAAAATCGTTGAGAAATCTTGTACTGACTTCAGTGCAATTTGATCAATATCTACAGGGAAAAGCAGACAAATATATTCTTGGAATAAGGTTCCCTGAGAAAACACTTGGAGGATTTGGATAAGCCAAATTTGGAGAGAAATAAAGAGATTACTCTGAGTTAGCATAGAGCACATTTACGTCCTAATACGCTGCTTCTACATGAAATCTTGTTGTATTTAATGTTAAGATTAGGATCAGCAGAAAAATAGACTGGAGTAGGGGTCAGCCTTCTTAATAAGATAAGGCTTTATCTGTAATCCCCGGGGAAAGAGACGGCGTAGGTCTGAGCTGATGAATATGGTAATATCCATAAGAAAACTATTTTAGGAGGTACTTGAAAGGCAGCACACACATCTTCAAAGGATCTACAGATTCCTCTTGACTGGAATGGAATATTTAGGCAGTCTGGAAAGCCATTTTACTGATAGCCGCTCATGAAAATAAATACAACCTTCTTTCTAATCAGGCGAGCAAGCCAAGTCCTACCGCCCAGCGTGCCAGCGCGCGAGTCCCGCTGAGAGTTTCAAGGGGCAAAAGAGAAGGCAAGGAAAAAACAGAAGCCCGGGTACGGTGAGAGATGGCTGCCTGGGGCCGGGGAGGGCCGACGGGCTGCTGCTGAAGAAAGGGGCCCGTGGGAAGCATCGGTGCAAGGAGAATCACCGGCTGATGAATACAAGCTGTGTTTCCACACAGGGTGGACAAGGGAGGATTCAGCCCGTCAGGGGAACATCACGAGAAGCCCACTGCTCACATCCATCCCTGCAGTTCCTGCCCACCCCCTGGAGAGATCTGTTGAACTGATTTCACTTTTGCAGTCCACAAGATAAAACAAGCTTCATCGTTGGCTTCAAAGGCTGGTTTTGCCTGAGTAAGGAGTGAGAACTGCAGGACTTCTTGGCCTCTTTTGAAAGGATGGGTAGAGGTTGGTGGGCCCTCCAAAATCACCACCAGTGTTGCTCCAGCTGCAGAGCAGCCTCCAGGAAGAGGGCATCCCTGTACGGGCACGCACTCCCGCGAAACACACTCCCAAATGCAGCCCTTAGCAGGTGGCTTTAGATGCCTCTCTTCATTCACTGATGCAAAATATACTGTCCATGAGCAGAAGAGATGTTCAAATAAGTTCATTGAACAGCCCACCCGAGGAAAAAAAAAAATAATAAATAAATTTGGGGAGTGGCGAATATTTAAAAAGCATTTTGGGGAGAATTTAGCAAGAAGCTAAACACCAATAGATAGATGCTTTTCTTCCAAGTTGCCTGCGTTACCTGGTCTTAGTTCCTTTTAGAAATAACCCTTACTAATAAGAAATTACTCCTTCATTATTAATTAACCTTTCGACTTGCAACATTATTTCTTTGTTAGTAATATCCGCAAAGGGCATTAGGCAATGCTCGCTGCAATTTACACTCAAATCGAGCCAAGCAAAGTATTTTAATAGAACTACAGCTTGTCATTCTTACTTCATTGTGTTTCTGCAGTGAGATAAAACTAGATTAGGATCACACAAATCAGAACAAGAAAGACAGGTCTGATGTGTCAGTAACCGCATATAGAAGATGTAGTTAACGTGAATAAAAAGTATGCATGTGCAAAAACAAACGCATAACCTATTCTCCCTCTAGTGGCCACTGCTTCTCCTCAAAATAAAATTAAAAAAAAAAAAAACTGGCATGGAGATAAATCATACCACGCTGGAAAAGAAAGAGGAGTGAAGAAGACCTGAAACTGCTTTTAATTTCAAGTGTCTCCTTTTCTGCTTCGCGATGTCTCGCTAACAGATCTAATGTCGCCGGTTAAAGGCAGCACACTGAGATCTTGCACGTCCTCCCGCACGAGCTACAGGGCGAATCATCTGTTTTAGGACCACGGTAGAAATGGTTTTGTTGAAGAGGAGCCAGCTGCCTTCCGCTTGCTGAATTACTGATCCAGCAAAAAAGCACAAAACCCATTTCTAATCTACCATATAACAATTACATTAAAAAGTCGCTGCTCTCTGCTGGAGTTCAAAATAGAAGACACACCAAGCTACAAAGGCATTTTTGCTAAGTATTTCAATTGATGCAGTTCCCCATATTTGATATGAGGTATAACCTGTATTTCAATTATTTAAAGTAATATCACTTTCTTACTGGCAAAAAGTTGTGCGTATAAACACATAAAACACTAATACAGTATTTCACCCATACTTGACTGCATTAAAAACGCTGATATTATTTGTGTTGGCTGTGAGAAGCATCACTGTTGCTATAATGATGATGGCACATTTAGAAAATTTACATGGGATATTGCTGTACGCGTACTTTTGGATGATAAACATTGCCAGAGAGAATTTATGTTTCCCTTCTTTGCCTTGGGATAAATATGGTAATATCATTATTGGCAATAACAATTTATATCGCTATGTAAAATGCCTGGAGTATGCACTCAGTCAAGCCAGAAAGCCCATGGTAGCGGATACGCTGCAGCGTGGCTGCTGCCACGCCAGGAATTTGCAGCTGAATAGGGAAGATAGGTAAAAGAGGACAGGGAAAAGAAGGGAACGGAGGTGCCCGTGGTCACACAAGGAGTCAACGAGCACGTAAGGACACAGATTTTATGAACAGAGCTTTTATGAACCGTATGCTCACAGCCCAATGCCCGGGTCACACGGACTTGACGGAAAGGGCACATCCAGAGCTCGGTGTACGTCATGTTAGAAACCCAAGGAACAGCCCCCTGCTTCTCCCCATCTAATCCCTCCACTGCTTAGAAAGAAGCAAAAGACTCACAATGTAACGTCGTGCATGCGTTTTATCCCGCATACCTGCCCAATCTGGCACACCACAGAGAAACGTGCTCTGCCTCCCAACAAAATCCAACCTGCTCGCGTATGAAATTGGGTCTAGTAAATCAATAAAGTCCTGAAATTTAAGTTGGTGCAATTTTAAGGTGTATTTACTATCGAAAGGCTGTAATGAAACACCTCATAGCAGTGCGGAGTCAGAAGACACGTTGCTAATCCCATATGGAAAAGCAGCAGTAATTGGCGTGTTCCTGCATACAGATAGCAAAGGAGAAGCAGCCCTGGACAGGGGAGGTTCTTCCAGGCTAAATACGATCACAATTTTCAGCCGTTATGATTGTAACATAGCCCTAAATGATCTGTCAAATAACAGAGCCCCAAAAGAAGTCCCTCTGACTAAGGGTAGCTTGTTTGGTCGCTCCACCACGGACATCTTCCAGGTGTCCACCCACCACCATGTCAGCGGAAGGTTGACATTCATCTCACTGAGGAAAGGCGTCTTCCTCAAGGCAGGGTGATGGGCAGGTACGGCAAGACAGCGCTCGCCGTTAGAGAGAAGCAGCCATCTCCACTACACCTGGTTCACGGGGCCGCAGGTCTTCCAAGGAACCATTTCACTTCTCACTTTCTCCCTGAATCCATACAGAGGAGGCCTCTCACACAAAGGCGAACACAGTGCTTTGGGGCTCTCTTTTGTTCTGCTTTGCCCCCTCTCAGAAGCTCTCCTCCTCTTTAATCTCCCCATTTTCACATCCCGTCAGCTGGAAAGGTGAAAACGACAGGCGCGTTCACCAAAGCTCCTTCCCTCAGAAGCCCGCTAATACCTTTCACAAGATTATTTCTGCTTCTCTCAAGAGATATATTTATCAGAGGTTAGAGCACTTCCCCCCCCCCGCCCCCCCATCCCCGTGGAGATGATTGCTACCAGCACTGGAAGAGCTTCCCAAGATTGCTAAAAGGCAATGTCATATGATGGTATCTAATTTCTAAAGTGATGGTCCGAGACAGCCTCTCCGCAGGCGACCCCAGAGCAGCGCTCGGGAGTTCTGCGTCGCTTCCCGCCGCGGGAAGTTCAGAGTGTTATTACGAATGTAAACATTTCTTGAGAAGGGCTATTTGAATAATTAAGAACAAGATACAGGTTTGCTGCTTTCGGGATGATTGCGATGGGAGACATATAAATGGCAGTCCGGCTATGGGAAGAGGAGCGAGCTTTCCAGGGTGATGGGCACCGGTAATGGCAAGGAGACGTGCTGCTTCTGCTGCCGCCCACCTCCTTATCCCCAGCGCCGCTTCAGCTGAGCTATACTTTCCACTGAGCATTTATAAAACACATAGGGAGTCATCGGAGAAGGGCCACACACACAGAGATTGCTTTTCTTGAAGATTAAAGAACAGAAGGACTGAAGGCAGGCTCGGGCTTTCATTATAATCAGTCCCCTGACTTGCAAGAAGTCTCCTGTGTGGGAGTCCCACAGAGCTCGTGGGCATTGAGATTTTTCCCCTCCATTTCATGGAGCTTTGCCCCTCCTTGGAAATTCAAGTGATCAGTCAGAGTGAAAAGTAGCCGTTGCTTTAAAAAAAAAATAATGTATATTTTTGACTTGTTTCAACTTCTCTGAAGTCTTTGCGATAGCTCACTATTGCACCCATTTGAACAAATTATTCTGAAGGATTGGTCAAATCCAAAGAAGCAGAATCATAAAACTTCACAAGATTTCATCACCCTTACTAGGAACTGATGGTAATCCCTTGAAGGCAGCAGGACAACATGAAGCGCCCTGTATGGGAAAAACCTTTAAGAAACTCTACCATTTTATAAACACACAAATATGAACCTTATGTCTTTCCCACTGAGCGAACACTAGAAGATATTGCACACAAGAAACAAACAAAAAAAAAAGACATTTAAGTAAAATCCTGACTGCCGCATCCCCACCCTTGGGACTTACCAAAGGTCTTGTCTTAATTCTGCTCACGGGCAAACCTATCTAGAAAAGCCCCATCCTAATTTACCAGGTTCTTCCTTTGCCTTTTGCAGTAAAGGTATGAGCATCCCTCTGCTTATTAACTATTGATAACACTCGACGGCCCCTGGTCCTCGCTGAGGCAAGTCACCCGAGTTGTATTCTCCTTTCCTAAAAAGCAAACAGCACAAACACTTTACGCACGAGTACAATATCCCACAAAACTCAGTTCGGTGGGGTAGAGGAGGTTCTCCAGAGCTCTACCGTGATGCTGTTGTTGGCTTAAGCTTTTCCAACGCTCCACATTTCTACAGAACCATTCGCGAAACGACCTTCCGAAATTTCCACCTGCCTGCGCAGGCGTTCGTGTTTGCAAACGAACGTAGAGATCTCGTGCCTGCGGAGCACGGCATTGACGCGGCCGGGTGGCATCCCTACCATCAAGCTGGCATCCCTGTCCTTCCCGTACTGTTCCCCAGTGACACAGCGCCAAGGTCCTTTCGTGAATGCTGACAATCTGCGTTCATCCCGCCAGCAGTCCTTTCCAGAGAGCTCTGCCAAAATGAATGAGCGGATCAGCGGTATCTGCTCCTGCAATATCACACTCAAACACAAAATCTTCTTTTTTTTTTTTTTTTCCTGCACAGGGAAACTGTTATTAATGCGATTTTTATCTAAAAATCCCTTCTATTTTTCTTTCCAGGCATTTATTTTTTGGAGTCATACCATATTATTTCACCCCACAACGTAACAATCCCATTTCTGTTCATTCTGTGCAGAACAAGCCTGATTTTATCAGGAGGTTTGGCTTTATCAGCTGGGCAGTTGGGTGGTTGGGGTATTTTATTTTTTCTTCCGGTTTATAGCATCAATGTGTGGTAATGTGACAAATCTAATACCCGGCACATAACAGATCTTTATTTTCAAAAGGAAAATAATTAGTGTTTCCATTTTTTAGCAGAGAGATTGCTTCATTGATACCAAGACTGAAAGACAAAGAGCCACGTCACGAGGACGTGAGGCTTTCTCCTGTTTGGGTGATATTAGGCTTGAAGCCGCCTTAGCGCTAAACTAAGGCAGAAGCAACTCCCGGCAGAGAAGCAGGAAAAGGGGATGCTTTTTGGGTCGTGAACTGTTGCGAATGCCCAAGGAGAGAGGATGGCTCGCTCCAAGAGCAAGTTCTGCTTGACAGTGGAGCGGGCAAGGGGTGGGAAAGGCATTGCAGGAAGAGCAACACTCACAACTGTCCTCAAATTAAAAATATTTAACCACCTTCTCCCCTCCTCCCCATAGTTAGCCGTTGTTTTGAAGTCTCTGAACCGAACCAAAATTGGAAGGGAACAAAGGGGTAAAGGGGGAAAAAAAGGAGGGGAAAGGCGGGGAAGGGGGAAAATGGGGAAGGGGAATGGGGAAGGGGAGGGAAGGGGAGGGAAGGGGAGGGAAGGGAAGGGGAGGGAAGGGAAGGGAAGGGAAGGGAAGGGAAGAAGGGAAGGGAAGGGGCAGGATCCTCCCACACCACAACAATGTTACCCACGCCACACTCTTGTCCCTCTGCTGTGCTGGGAACTTTGCTGTCCACCAGAAGCTTTTCTCAGCTGCACTTGTCATCTGAAACGGTACCCACTAGCAAGCATCTTCTTCAGTCTAGAGGAAACCTGGGCTGGTCAAAAAACCCCAACAAAATAACCAAAAATACTTCCACTGAATTAGGATTAGGACAGGTTTTGAAGTATATGGGAAGGGAGAGTTCTTGGTACAGAGAACTTTGACCAGCATTTTGATACCAGGAGGCTTCTCTCTCTCATTTCCATTATGTTGGTTATATTAGACTACACAGGGTATCTACAGCCCTCTGACGAACACCTCATTTGATCCTCCCTCCTTACAACCTCCCACCCCAGTGAGGCTTTAGTTAATGTTGTGGCGCTCATTTAACAAATGAACAGACCCTTATGCACGGCGCCTGCCTTCCCCAAGGGCTTGCTCATGCCGAGAGGCAGTGAGCTTCACAGCGTGTGGATACAGAGAAGATCACAGGATTTCACAGAATCACAGAATTTTCAGAGTTGGAAGGGACCTCTAGAGATCATCTAGTCCAACTCCCCTGCTAAAGCAGGACTGCCCAGAGCACATCACTCATGACTGCATCCAGGCGGGTCTTGAAAATCTCCAGAGAAGGGGACTCCCCCCCCTCCCTGGGCAGCCTGTGCCACTGCTCTGTCACCCCAACTGTAAAGAAGTTTTTCCGTGTGTCGGAACGGAACTTCCTATGTTCCAACTTGCGCCCATTGCCCCTCGTCCTGTCACTGGGAACCACTGAAAAGAGTCTGGCTCCATCCTCCTTCAACCCACCCTTTAGGTACTTGTATGCCATAATCAGGTCTCCCCTCAGCCTTCTTTTCTCCAGGCTAAAGAGTCCCAGCTCTCTCAGCCTTTCCTCATAAGGGAGATGCTCCAATCCCTCAATCATCTTGGTTGCCCTTCGCTGGACTCGCTCCAGCAGTTCCCTGTCCCTCTTGAACTGTGGAGCCCAAAACTGGACACAGTATTCCAGTTGTGGCCTCACCAGTGCCGAGTAGAGGGGGAGAATGACCTCCCTCGACCTACTGGACACAAGATATATCGCATGGCCTTATCATCAAGAACAAAACACTTTATTGACAAAGAATCAATACTCAGGTTTGTACTGACGCTGCCAATATAGTTAATGCTTTAGTGTCCTAAGGCAAAATTTGTTTCACTTGAAAAAGACCTGAGCGTACCCCGGAACAGACAATTTTCTGTGCTTTTCCCTCTGGCAGCTGGCTCTGGTTTGAAGTCAGGGCAAAGAAACCTTTGGATCATTAACGTTGCTCCATGGCCACCTGCATAGCGAGGTTTTTAACACCACACCCACACCCCCCCCAACGATTGTGTTCTTGGACAAAACTGTCCAGGTAGTGAGCAAGTGAATAATGTGTTTCAATCACACTTAGCAGATCTAAAGGGTTAGCTGCCCCTTTCTGTAATATACGGCTCTGCCTGTGTTAGCTTAAAATGAGTTTAAGATGGATTCCCTGAAGAAACGGTTCGTGGCATACAATCTGGCTGCTGAGCAGTATTTCTTAGGGTGACAGCATCCCCAGCTGAGTCGCTCAAAGGCTGTGGCTGTTGCACAAAGTCAACACGGAGATGTTCCCTATGTATAGGCAGACGTCCCACCAAAAAAAAAAAAATGAACATTTTTGAAGGACTCACTGAAGAAGAGAAAGACAATCGCAGATATATGAGCTGTGACACAGTTCATGGCTGTGGTCATTTATAGACACGTGTGGTCTCGGTACACAGGGGCAGGAGGTGACACCGTTACGGCCACGGTGGACCAGAGAAAGTCACACAGGGTGCAGAGACGTGAGCGCTGAGCACCGAGGAACAATATTCATCGTCTCCTCATTGATAGACCCACTTAGGCTAAAGGAGAGGCTACTCCCTCCCCAGGGTATGGATTTCTCCCTTCGAGTATCACCTGAAATTGAGAGTTCAAAGTTTGCTGAAGTCCAAAGGGGCAGTGACAGCCCCAAGCCCTGTTTGCTGCTTAGCTACAAAGAGCAGGCACGGACGCAGCATGCTGAAGTCCAAATGCAACCCATTAGCTGACCCTCCCCTCGGACACGTTTTGGATGGCAGCTCCCGCTCACAGTCCCCATTTGCAGAAGATTAAAGGCCAATTTGGCAGTGCTGAGAAGCTTCGGGCTGTCCCTCGCAGGGCTGGCTGCCGGTGCTTGGATGGAGACTGAGGCTGAGGGAGTCTTTACTGGGAACACCCAAATCCAGTATAGGAGAATGGGACCAGAAGTAGATTTGTGCCTTTACTTGATATTATAATATTGCCCAGGACAGGCTGTAGAAATTTCTTGTCTTTCACGGAAAACGCATTTTCAACCACCAAATTTTGATTTGGTGTTACTTGTGAATGGTTAACGCTGCTTTATTCCTAACTTAGGTCTTAGGAAGTACTAAATATTCACAGTGACCGACAGACTAGTTAAAACCTAGACCCAAAAAAATCAAACCCCCAAAATATTTCACAATCAGCAACCAGAAAGAGACTACACCCACTCTACGTTGTTGAGCTGAGACATTTTCTATAATGGGGAAAAGTAAGTATATTTCTAACACTTTATTGCAGGTTTAGCAGAAGGCACTGTATTTAAAGGCAGAAAAGGACCTGGGGGTGCTGGTCGACAGCCGGCTGAGTATGAGCCAGCAGTGTGCCCAGCTGGCCAAGGCAGCCAGTAGCATCCTGGCTTGTATCAGAAACAGTGTGGCCAGCAGGACTAGGGAAGTGATTGTCCCTTGTACTCAGCACTGGTGGGGCCCCACCTCCAGTGCTGAGTTCAGTTTTGGGCCCCTCAGTAGAAGAAAGGCATTGAGGTGTTGGAGCATGTCCAGAGAAGGGCAACGGAGCTGGTGAGGGGTCTGGAGGACAAGTCTGATGAGGAGCGGCTGAGGGAACTGGGGTTGTTTAGTCTGGAGAACAGGAGTCTGAGGGGAGACCTTATCACTCTCTACAGCTACCTGAAAGGAGGTTGTAGCGAGGTGGGGGTCGGTCTCTTCTCCCAAGTAACAAGTGATAGGACAAGAGGAAATGGCCTCAAGTTGCACCAGAGGAGGTTTAGATTAGATATTAGGAAAAATTTCTTCACTGAAAGGGTTGTCAAGCATTAGAACAGGCTGCCCAGGGAAGTGGTGGAGTCACCATCCCTGGAGATACTTAAAAGACGGGAAATGTGGTGCTGAGGGACATGGTTTAGTGGTGGACTTGGCAGTGCTGGGTTGATGGTTGGACTCAATGATCTCAAAGGTCTCTTCCAACCAAAACGATTCTACGATTCTGTGAATCAAGCAGGGGAGGGAAGGACAGTGAAATGCTGCCATCCAAGTATCTGAGATCACCACTGGTTTTGTAGAAGTCATCCTTCTGTGCTTTTGTCACCCTAAAGTTATTGCTGCTCGAGCTGGCTAAATTACTGTTGGAACAGAAATGTCTCCTGGTGCTGGAAATCGCACCTTCGGCAGCGACGTAGACTTACCTTCGGACAGCAACCACATTTTCACATTGACATGAAAAAAGACAAACCTCAAAGTAACGACGTTGGATTGGTTGAATGGGATTTCCCAGGATAAACTACCAGTTCACCCAAAATTACGGAGGCAGAAGGAGGAATACGGAGACACTTCATAGTTCCTCTGTCTTGCAAGAAAAGAACAAAATACCTTTTAAAATAAAACTTTTCAGTGCTCAAAAGAGTTCAAGTGTTTTATTCATCTTATGAAGAACAAAAACATTTTATAAAAATTTAATATAATTTATAAAAATATTCTTAAGCAAGAGGTTTTGTCACTACTAGTTTTCTCTTGCCAGCTGCACGTGAAATAATTGCCTTTCAGGCTGAAAACAGGAAATTTTTATTTCATTTAGGATGTTGACTGCTTAATAACATACAGCCTCACTTTGTAACGAGAAGCGTGGTGGAAAAGATTGTCGCAATCCACCTGCGCACTTAATTTTAAGCCAGCAGATTTATACGTTTGCATATCC